ACACGCCACGTCATAAACTGTCCAAGGGGATTTGGAATCAAAGGGTTCAATGATTTCAGGCGAGACACGGCTTTCCTCGTCCCCCAAGCCTAGCTGGCCGTGGCTGTTCCCACCCCAAGAATAGCACACCAGGTCATTCTTCTCTTTGTAGGTTTCTCCTATGGTGACTAAAGCCACGACGTGTTCGTTCCCACATGCCACCTTGACAACAGTGCGTCCATGGAAGCTCCACACAGGCATTGGGTTAGAGGTGGTGAAGGCACGGGAGTCTTTGGCATTAGTGGACTTGCTTTGTTGTGGCTGAGGGCAATTGCCCCATATCCAGAGACCTCCAAGACTGTCAATTGCTAGAGACATCATTCCTCCAGCATTGACAGAAGAAACCTGAGCAGAAAAATCTTTTATGAAAGAACAACAACAAATGTAGTAAAGGGATGGTTTGTGCATGTACACATTACCCATATTATGAAGTAGAGAGATCGTTTCCAAGGGACCCTCGGTTCACATATAGAAATGCAAACAGAGAAACCATTGGAGCACAAACAAAGTATGAACATAGACAAAAGAAACATACAAGCAGGCTCTAAAAACACTAGTCACAAATCACTAAAAGGACTCTCTTCAAACTAAATAAGGCATAAAAATGCAGCAACATAGACTATAAACTAAGGCTCACAAGTCACAACTTTGCTCAAGCTCAACTACTACAATCCTAGATCTCCAGATTATAAAAGAGCGACACATTAATGCTATATCAGGAACTTGAAAACCGGCAGGGAAAGAAAAAAATGCATTCTTTCCATCCAAAATTAAATTCACAATTTCCTTTTCCGCCAGTCCCAAAGTAAAATTCACATTTCTCCATTTTCCCTTTCAAGAATGAAACACATGGCTTTAATCTCTCTCTCTCTCTCTCTCTCTCTCTCCCTCCCTCCTAAAGAAATTCCAACACACTTCCTTTTCTTCTAAATTTCTGCTCTATTTTGAATTTGAAGCATTTGATACACACACACACACACACACACACACATATATATATATGGAGTATTATATTTCCTCCACACTTCATTTTCTTCTAAATTTCTGCTCTATGTTCTTAGCCTTTTTGAAGGTCCAAACGGACCCTAGAAGATTAACTACATATTCATATGCTCATAGTGTCTTTGAGAATTATTCATTAGGAAGAAAAACCCACCATTAACTTTGTCCTCTCCGCGTCCTCTCCTGAGGCATTTGGGGAACCCAACTCGAGGAATCCCTCCAACAATTGAGGAGCTAAAAGATTTTCTCCATTTGCACCAACTTGGCCGTCCGTGTGTCAGTCAAGGGTTAGAAAAAATGGATAAAAAGTGAATGTATTTCTGAATAAAATGCAGCAAGGGTAACTGGAAAAAGAAAAAAGAAAAAAAAACCAAAAACAAAGGATACATATATTATAACCCCATCCCCAAATAGATCCATCATCTGCAACGACAAAAGATGAAAAAAGAGTACACAAGTTTAGAGGAACAATTCTTTTAGTCTCCTGGTTAAAGTTGCACATAATAATAGTCCACAATCAAAGGTCTCCTCTTTTGTACTGAAAGTTACTGAACTAAAGTAAAATGTGCTAAAAAAAGTGGAATAAATTAGTTCTAGTTGCTAACTTAAAAGTAAAGAACTAAACTGAAAAGTTTTGAACTCAAGTGAACTAAATTTGGTTGTAAAATAAGTTAAAAAAAGAACACACTCCAAGTTGCCATTAAGTTCTTAGTTTGACTAGGACACATGTTTAGGCTATGCATTTTTTCTATTACTTTCCAATTTTGCACCTACTTTAAATGTTTGCCTTTTGTGGAGCTGGACTATATTAAGGACAGCCTTAAAGAGAGAGTGGGAACTTAATTGCAAAGGCAGGGAGAGTATATGGCATACATGAAGCATATTGTCATTTGACAAACCACATCCTCATTCATGCCTATGGTGCAAAGAAGATTTTTACTTATTAAGACCAATCAAAGTCATCGTTGTCCATTTCACTGTAAAATCAAACTATCGATGCTTTACGTAGTTCAATACTAATCTGATGCTGTTGACATTCCAGTTCTGCTCTAAATCACATCTGAGAAAGCGGACACAGCAATACTAGTGACTGCAAGTCTGCAACAGCTCATGCAAATATCCCATATCAAATCAAGTCTAGTTCATCTATCCTGAGCAGATGGAGACTGGTATTCCAGCTATCGCAATCTTTCTACTATCTCCTTGAAGAATCCTTAATATAATGTTGTAGTCCCGTCAAAACTCTTTGCGAGAATATGTAGCAATAGAATTTTACAAAGTCTTCCCTCATAGCATGAATCACACGGCAGTCGGCAGTAGTAAACAACAACAAACCAAGTAGAATCCCACAAGACAGTAGGGTCTCGCAGAATGTGTGTATGCAGACCTTACCCCTACTTAGGAAGTAGAGATCGAGGCTGTTTCTGAGAGACCTTGTTTCAATACAAAAGCACATATAAAGTAAAAACAACACTAAACTTATACTCGCATAGAAAGCACACATGCATATGATATATAAACTAAGGGAAAACAAAAACGTAGAAATTCCCACAAGGTATTATAATCCTAGCTCTCAAGGGGATAATGTCTAAGACCATATGGTAGTTCCTGTGTAATCACGGCAGTAGTAATCAAGGAAAATAAAGAGTGAATTAGCAGGTGACAGTAAACCTGCAACTGCTAGACTGTGATAAGCCCCAGCAGCAATATCCACAATCCTGACACCGGCAGAGCTAAAAAATTCAACTCTGACCGGAAAAGTCTGGTCTGATTCCGATCCGGTTCCGAGCCGGCCAAACATTCCTCTACCCCAAGAGTAGACGCTCCCATCCGCTGTAAGAAGACGATTTTTCAAACAGAAATTGAATAGTCTATTCGCAGAAGGATATTAATTCGATGAAGAACTGAAATAACAGAGTTTGATGTGTAGAAACCGGTGAGAGCGAGAGTGTGAGATTCGCCGGCGGCGATTTTGATGATTTTGTCAGATAGCTTGCCGGGAGTTAGCGGCGGCGGCGCCAACGGTTGCCGGAATTCCTCCATTTTTTTATTAATGAGCTAATTAACTGGTCTCTTCTAGAAGTACTTCCCTGGCCATTTCAGGTGACAACACCGCTGGACTTGCTTCTCTTCTGGCCAAATTATCTAAGGAAGATATGTGCTCTGAGACCCATAGAAAAAAATTAAAAAGTTTAAAACTGAAAAAAGTTACTCGTATATAAAAATTAAAACAAAAAAAAGCGAAGAATAAAAGTGAAGAACCGAAAAGGAATGCAAAAGAAAACAAAAAAACTACTTTATCATAATGTGTTGCTAGAATTTTCTGTTAGTAGTGCTTTAGGGTTGATTACGAAAAACTAAAATGTAAAAATGAAATGTAATTGGAATGGGAACATGTATTTGTTGTTTAAAGATATTATATCGGGAAAGGAAAAAAATAATCCAAACTTATATTACGTTCAGATTTTACAACGAAGAAATGAAATAAAACAAATAGAAGAACGCCGGTTATCGAAAGTCGAACGGATAAGGAAAGCAGAGTCGGAGCTTTCTTTAAGATAGTATCGTCCGCCTCCCGCACTGGCTAACATGGACGATCTTTTTTCTAACGTGCAAGGTCTAGAGCGGTAGAACCAGACACTAACGAAACGGAACGAACTGAGAGTTACTTGTGACAGAAAAATTTTCTCACTGCAACTAGCCCTCATTGTATAGGAGAGGCTTGGCTATTCGGATGGACCGGGCGGACAACATAAAGAGTCATCGGAGACCTCTCACACTGCATGCATGCTTCATTTCTTCTTCAACACTCCATCGTGTCCACACGTGCTCAATTTGGTCTCGTAAAAAGATAAGAGTTGGCCCACGCCCCCGCCACGACACATCGCACGCGCCACACGCCAACAAGCGTTTGCACGCACGAGCGTGTGTGTTATGCCGGACGGCTGCAGCGGCGGTGCGCGAGGATCCTTTTCTTTCTCTTCCTGTTGCTTTTATCATGCAATTCAATGCTAGCATATTATGTTGGAGGATGAAAGGTCCCAACTCTGATGTGGGATACGTGTGTTTACTCTTTCCAAGTGTCTGAATTTGTGAATTAATTTCTTTCATTGCAACTATCACACTATTACTGTCACAATGCCATTTATTGCCACCGGGTACTAGAGTGCCGCCGTGGATCACCGATGGTTAACTAATAATACTGTCATATTACACTGTCATCACTTTTTCATCACACTGACAATGTGTACTCTTACATTACACTGCTATTATACTCCTATTCTGGTCTTAAAAAACTCGAGTCTTCTATTTTAGTATTTTCATACCTTTTTACTTTTATTCTATGTAATTTTAATTTGAGTTTTATCAAATTATTTATTTAATGTTATTTATTACATACTTGGTCCGTCCCTGAGTGTTTGTCAACTTTTGACTTTTGGAACTGTTCATCTAAGCACTCTGACTCATCAAATTCTCTCAATGTGTAAGCCAAAAAATAGTCATGTGTGATCTTGTTTGATTCGTCTTAACATATAGATTATTAATATATAATTTTTATAATTTTTTAATATACAAATTACAAGATAAAATAGATTAAAGAAGTACATTGGATGATGTACAAAAATGAAAGTGGACAAACACTCAGGGACGGAGGGAGTATATTAATTATGATTTAAAAATTTAGACTTGATAGGCGTGATTCACACCCTGTGGTGTGATATAGCGATAGTAGTGTGATGGATTGATGGGAAAGAGAAAAACTAAAATGGGATAATTTATCACACCAAATTAAGACAAGTTCTTCCGTGGACCTAAAGTTTATTTTAATTTTATTGACCGTATCATAAAAGAAATGAGGTTTTTGTAATAAAAAAAATTAAATAAAAAACGTGAGAAAGGACCATGTAAGCCTCACTCCCAGACCAAATGGTCTCAAGTTTAGATGCTCTCACAAGCCACGCCTATCTGGTAGAAGCCTAAACTCAACTTCTTCCTAAAATCTGACTTCTAACCCTAGCGGAATCCCTCAGGGACTGGCAACGCTCTTCAATGGCGTCCCGCTGCCGCGTCCTGTCCAGACCAGCCTTCAATCTAATCAAATCTGCAATCTCCAAACCCGCACTGAAACCCTCCAATCCTTCACTTGGCGCCGCCAGTCCATTTCCCCCGCTCCACAGGTAAGTCTCCAGGTATAGATATACCTATTATTGATTCCAGAATCAAAAAAAATATTTTTTTCTGGTGTTTGTTTTTCAATGATTTTGCTTCGTTTTTTCAGACCATTGTCTCACATTGCTGCTCTCCAGTCCTTGCTGCCGCTCTACTCAGCCGTCTCTTCTGCTCGGCTCACCTCTTGCCTCAGCCTTGACTCTAAGGGCTCCCGCTCTTTGTCTCAGGGTATGCTCTGCAGTGCCAATCCAGGGGTTTGATACCTATTTTGTATTGTGTCTATCTGTAAGCAAATCTTCTTCACTATATTGGGCATTGATAGCAAACTTAATTTTTATCTATTTATGAACTACATTTCCCCCCCTCTAATACTTATAGGTACTCCGTACTAAATTTAATTCGAATAGCTAGGTAGATACATTTGCTCATCTGGTGTTCAAACAACATTGTTGGATCCCACAAGAGTACGGTCTCGGGAGGGTACGTACCCAAAGTCGCAGACATTACCCCTACTCGAAAGTGGAGAATGTGGTGTTCAAAGTTCATCTGATATATAAATGAGCAACTAACTCTAATAATATGACTTATTTTGGAGCATTAAAAATTTACTTCGCGTGAATTTGGTCAAGACTCAAGAGCATATATTGTTAGAATAAATTTAGAAATAAATTGAAGTTTCTTGGTCACAAAAATAACATCAGTAACCTGATGTGGGTAGTTCAAGCCAGGGAAACACAAAAGGAGTCCTCGTAATATCATTAGTGCTTTTTTTGTTCTATTGCAGTATTGGGTTAGTCAACTATATCACCACATTCAAATTAGAAGGCCACTGATATTCTAGTTCCAAATGTACGTCTTCTTAATGCCATGTCAGAAAAAGATTTTGCCTTAGCTTGGACGGTTAAGCCTTTTGTGTGCGTCTAGAAAAACTCGAACTCCATGATTTACTCAGAGACTGTAGTTTGAAAATTTCACCTCTTTTTTTATTGGAGTTGAGTGGCAACCGCCAACCAGGTACATATTCATAATGGTGGATCTTTGTGCCCTTTTGAAGCATTGCAGTGTGTTGGCCAAATATAAGATTCGACTCTTCACGGAATCTATCTGCATGTTATGTGTTCCTTGTTTGAGTATTTTCACACAAGTGGTGTTACTGTCTACCTGCATTTCGTGGATGTCTTTTACAGAGTATACTCTGTTTGAATTTTTTTCCGACTCATTTTCTCACATAATGTTTATATACTAGTAGATTGATAATTTCATGAAAAAAGAAGATAAATTTTTTTGGTTTATTTTTCTTTTTATCTGACCTACTATTTTACTCTGATGCCATACCTGATAATTTTGCATTGCTCTCATCCACTCTTTTTTTTAACTTTAACAATGACTACACAATAGCACAATACCACTTTTCTTAATATGCGTGTCACACCTCTTTGCCTGGAAAATAGCGGGACAAAGGAAGTAATTATTTGGTTAGAGTTATAAGACTTGTTGAGACATAAAAACATAATTTTTGATCAAGCATCTATTTAAATGAATGTTGTCATGTCATTATAAGTAATTGTGCATGCTAATACAATTCTTGTGTGGGTTAAGACTAGCACAATTTGCTAATAGCTAACCACCGATTATGATACAAGTTTATATTATACTATACTATATAGGCACATTGTTTTGTGTGTGTCTATATTGCTTTTATAACTAGAAAAGCAAGTGCTCTTAGATTTCAGTATAAGCCTCTATGCATTCATATTTTAGACTTTATGCTCGTGGAAAAGTGTGTTACATGAAAGAATAAATTATACTACATATTACCTTTGTCCCAAAATAAACTTTTCATTTTCTTTTTTGGTTCGTCCCAAATTTAACCTCTTGTCCCTTTTAAAGAAAGCATTGAATGTTTGACATTGTTACTCTCTCCGCTACGTGTATCCAACTACTCAATTTACCTTTTCTTAAACTATGCAAAAAAACATCTGAGAAGTTTCATTTGGGATGGATGGAGTATTCAATTATTTGTTTGATTTCAGAAATGAAAAAAGTATTATGCAGTCAATTTAAGACTAGGCACCCAATTGTGCATGTGTGTGCATGCACACAGGTGGGGAAGTTTTTATAGTTTCATAGATTTGGATGGTATGTACCATCAACTACTATGTTTATAACATTAATGTTCACTTCTAAGGATTAATGACATGCCAAAACGATCATATAACCAATTAGTGATTATTATACTCCGTAACATATTAACAACTGAAAGTCAAAAACAGGTATTCCCCTCACCCCTTCCCTAAGCCCACCAAAGTTTGAGACCCCACTTAGCAAAAACAAAAAAAAACATAAACAAAAGTCAATAAACAAATCTGTACATTTTTTGTTGTGCCATTGATCATGAGTGTTTGAGAGGTGAGGGGTTTTTTTAGACCATAATATCTTGATTCAAGCATGTAGTTTTGTTCTCCATTGAGACATTCAAAAGCTTGACACTTGTTTCGCTCTCTAGAGTTGAGACTGGCAATCCTTGAGAGGTCTCAAATCGGTTCATCTGCCATGTTTTTAATTTATTTTAACGGCCAGGGTTTACACCCACACCCTTGAATCAATTTAAACACACATTTCTCTCATTATAGGACTTGCCTCTCACCCATGGTTTTAAAAGGCGAAAAAGGCGGTCCGCCTCGAGGCGGAAAGGCGGTAAGGCGGTCATATCTAGCCTTAGAGGCGTCCGCACCAGGTGGGATCTGTGAGGCGTACGCCTTGTTTTTCCAAGGCCGTCCAAGGCGGTTGAGGCGATAAGGCGTTTGTGAGGCGGTAGCCTCGGTTTGGATCTTGTTTCGTGGGATCGGAGATTGACCAAAACAAGCGGAATTTCGATCGACAGGTCAAGCGCCTCTGTTTTTACCCAATCAGACTCTTCCCAGTTCCGACTCTGTAATTTCTTTTCTTTTTTTTCTTTTTTTTTGACGGCTCTACTCCCTTTCTTTTTACGAAGCTCCCAGAGCTCTACTCCCTATTTCTTTTTTATTTTCTTTTTCGGACGGCTACTCCCTGAGTCCCTGTTTTCTTATTGCACTTGTGGTCTTATCACAATTTTCTTTACCCAGGTACTTTTTTCCTTTTTATTGAGCTTTTTTAATACTCCGTAGTCCATATACTCCGTTTGTATTTACTCCATTCTTCCTTCACTTTTTTATTCAGAACTTTTTTTTACTACGCCTACAACTTTATTATTTTAGGAATCAAGTTTTAAATGATTTGTGACACTTAAGTATTGTGTTTTCCTTAATTAAAACATATTAGTGTTATATAATACCTTTTCAAAATAATACCATGAATATGGATTATTTAATTTCCTTTTTATTTTACCCTTTTTTTTGTTTAAATGAAAACCTATGTATGATTTTATGATTTAGTTTACATAATTATGGATCCTCTATTTTTTTGTACCTAAAGAGTTTTTATTATGGTTTTTTTTCCAAGTTGAACTGAGGCTTACGCCTCGTTCCGCCTCGAGGCTTACGCCTCAAGGCATTTTGCCTAACCGCCTTGAGGCTCGTTTTCGCCTTTTAAAACCTTGCTCTCACCTGGGACTTTCAGTGTGTGTGATGGTGTCTGTGTTGTATAAAAGGTTGGGACTGCGGGAGTGATTAGAATGGGCCAACAGGGGTAGCCCACCCAAGAGCATACTAGTGCACCTCAACCTGAGGCTGACATAGGCAATACCATTTAGGCCGTTCTTTCTAATGGGGTTTTAGTTTCCTACGTATGCTTGTGTATAGCCAGCCAAGTAGAATGGACAGCTTGAGGTAGGATCATGTGTAGAACCCTTCAATGTGTGAGTTTTACAGTACAATTATCAACAAAACATAGTTCAGTCCACATAACTGAGTGTAAAACATGCTCTTCATAGTCTATGTCGCGTGTGAGGTGCATAAATTTATTTTAAGCACGTGTTCTTTATTGGTATTTGCCTTAAGATAGGAACATTTAGAGTCCTAGGATTAGGGTGGTAGGGGAAGCTTTTGTGCATTAGGTTGTTTTTTTTGCATGCGTGCATGCATCTTTCGTGCAAATATCCTTTGTCATTCACATTCCTTGTGTGCCTGCTTCTTTCGTACAATTATCTTTTGTCATTCCCATTTTTCTTCCTTAACATGTTTTTTAAAGTTCCTTTTGTTTTGAGTTGGGTGTCTTTTTGAAACAGTTTCTTTACTTTTCAAGGAGGGGTAAGGTTTGCTTACACACCCTCCCTGAACCCCACTCTATTCGATCTTACTGGGTTTGTTGTTGTGGGTCTCTATTGGTATAAATTCAAAATCCAGTGCATCGTTAATACAGAGAGTGTCTCTCCTCCACAACATAAGACATACGTGTGCTAATGAAATTCATTCAACAAAATTGGTTACTGCGTATGGACTTGACAGAGTTATGTTGCTAAATATGATTCCATTTTGACATAGTCCATGGAGGCATGGAGCAAATACTAGACTCTTTTGCTAAATTGGATTCCAATTTTTGATCTATTCCATGAAGTCATGAACCAAAATCTTTTCATTTTTCTTGTTCTAATGTGTTCCAGTACTTCTCTAGAGTCCTTGGTTTGCACGAAATTTGCAAGGTGTATAAAATGTGTTTTATCATTGAAGTATATTTGAGTTTTATTTGAAATCTAACTCTTCTTAAGAGTCAGGGCAGTTGGAGCACACTTGATAGATCTAACTTTGATGATCTTGCTGGAAACAGTTTACAGATTTCATACATTACTGATCATGTACATCGTCATTTGTAAATACCTTTATGCAGCATGCTAGTTCTTCGCGGTTCAGTTAAGCACATAGTAAAATTTGGATCTCCACTGATGATATATGTGTTGAACTTTGCAATGCAAATTTGGTTCTCAATATGGGCTAGTGCTTCCTTTTCCACTTGGTTGAGTTCACTTTTTTTTCCTAGTCTTCCTTTCTTCAAATTGCTATCAAGTTCTTGGTTGGCCCAACATATTTCTTAGGTTGAGAATAACTGAGATTAGGAATAAATGAAGTGTTATAGTGGGTTATGAGAATGTTGCCAGGTAAACACACGCTTGATATTTACTAACTCTTTATCCTATACCATTGAGCACTCTACCTTGACTAAAAAATGGAAACCATTTATTTGTTGTCTATATTGTAACATAAGAAGTATCATAAGAAGATAAATAAAGGGAAACCTTGATGTGCTGATTGAGGCATTTATTTAGACCACACCCTTTAGGTGAGACCCCTCAATCATCCCTCAACGAGGAAGAATGCTTTGTGCTCCGGACAGCCTCCTAAGAAGAAATATGAATGAGAAGCCCTTAACTTAACAGATTTTGCCCAATACTTTATTCTGTTGGTTATTGATTTCTTAAAAAGTTCGATTGAGTGATTTCTAAGTTTCTGGACATGTTGCTTATGCAGTGGTTTTTCCTTTTTGCTTTTTACAGAGTTAGGTCTCTCTGTTCCCCGATGAAAGATGGATGTCAAAGGTCGATGATATGGTTAGCCATGGCATCTTACCCCACATGAAAGTTGGCTTCATATGCTTCCAGTTTTTTATTTATTTATTTATAACTTTTTTGAATGAAAAAAAAAGTATAATTCATACACTACTCTTTTTATCCATTTCTATGAACTTGGGCATGCTTCTGCTGAAATTCTTTTTATGTCAGGAATTTTACTGCCCATTAGCCCCATTTGTGGATTTCCCTTTAGATTTTTGGATGCCACAATGGATGTGAATGGCCAATGAATTGGGAATATGTCCTTTGCTAAAAAAGATACTATGTTGTCATGTTGGTGTCCTTATCTTTATGGTAAAGAGGAACCCATATAACATATGTGCATATATTGTGAAACACTTGATTCTTGTCACATTATTATAAAATTGTGGAAGAAAATGCCTACTTTGACCTCACAGATGATACCAAAATTGACACCAGGCCCAGATAGTTCTGTGAGACACCGGCGGGGTTAATTTTGATATTATCCCTGATGTGACTGTAACATAATCAAATTATGGTGAGGGGTGGGTGGGGTGGGGGTGGGGGTGGGGTGCTGAATAGCGAATGGTGTTTGGTAATTATTTAGGATTTTGATTGCTTCTGCAGGAATGTGAAATGCCATGTGAGGAAGTGGGATGGTTGATGGTGTTGTGTCTCTGTGTCTCCTATCCTTTTGCAAGGTTTTTTGGTCCCTGCATTCTTGTCACCATTCCATAAATATCCCCATAAAATTATAAGGTAGACTTGGTCCATACTACTCATTCATTCACATTTGGTTATCTTTTGTGATTTTTATACTCCATAAAGAAAAATACTACTATCGTTCCTGAGTATTTGTCCAGTTTTGATTTTTTTCGATCAGCTGTTTTCAACTTTTGACTTATAATTAAATAAAATATATATCCTATATTAATTTGATAGAATAATATTTTGAAAATATTTGATATAATAAATTTAATAAAATTATTTTTGTATCAATATCTAATACCATTTTTATTTAATTTTAGGTTTAAAGTTTACCAATTTTTACTGAAAAAGTTAAAAGTGGACAAATACTCCAGGACGGATGGAGCAGTCATTAAATATTGTTAGATTCGGCTTAATATAAACTTCCATAATAACTTTACATATTCCATTGGCAAACATGATTTGTTCTATGTGTTGGAAAACATGAAAATCTTGATGTATTTATTTAAGAATGGAGGAGATTAAATTTTAGTTTGTGTGGAAGGTTAGTGGAGATTGTAATTACCAAATCTATCCAAATGAAAGTCAAGTGTGATTTTAACTAAAAAAATGTAGAACTCACAAACTTGAAGAAAATATCCCTTATGTTCTAGACTCAACAACAACAACAACATCAAACTATCCTTTATGTAATTTTTCCTTTGAAAAAAAAGAACTATATATATAGTCTTCACCTCAAACATATCCTTGGGATGTCTTTAATTTTGGGGAGGGGGCAATGGGTGTTGCCGTAGGGGCAGGGAGTTAGGGAGGTTAGAATTATGAAGTTTTTGAATAGAACACCATAGCCATTGTTATCATATTGTGACATTAATAGTTGTTGTCAAAAGAATGAAGCAATACATATAAATAAATATACAATCAAATGATATGTTGGGTTATGGAACCCGGGGGCCTAAGAGACTAGGCGGAAGAGTATCGAACTAAGTCGAGAATGCACAAGTTTGGGGTCAAGTAAATTATGAGTATTATTGTGCTGGTTCGAACGTAAGTCCCCTTTCTTTTAGAAGAGGTTTATATGCGAATTACAACATAGGGTTCTGACTGTTGGTCCAAAGCCCAACGGTCTGGGCACACTAAGATTGGATTGTTCACTGGCGGCGTCCAACCACATCATTATCCCTAGGATTGCTATACCAAGTAGGTTACAAATAGGGTGGCTAGAACAACTCTGTCAGAGGTATGGCAGGGGTCCAATCGTGGGCCCCCTGATCTTGACTACTTGGACAGCTTCCTTGTCTGGACTTGGTCTGCTGGCGCCCCGGGCCGAGGCCGAGCGCGTATGCTCTGTCTCCTGAAATCCCTTGATGGAAGGCCGGCCGAGGGTGGTCCGAGGACGACCGACCCTGCCGAGGCTGAGCATGAACTGTCGCCGAGGTGGCCTTCCTAGATCTTCAGATTATTCCTGCTTTTGTCCAGCTAAGTGGGCATTAGCGAGGTTGGGCTGGGCCGCTTTTCCGTTGGGTCGGGTACCCCCATTCCCGGGTATCCATCATGAGAAGATTGAGAAGGGACGGGGTATTATATTTTGTTGCAAGGGAATTATAAACAATAGTAAAAAAAGAAATTATATTACGGCATGCACTGATTACGGCATAATAACATGGAAAAGGACCGGGGGGTACATAGAGGTCGTGTTTGGATGGAGACAAATTCACAATGAACGTGCAAATATCCCATCCCATCTCTGCATGCCTCTCTACGTCCATTTTCTTATTTTGTTTTCTTTATTTAAAATATTGTCTCTTCTTCTACTTGTACTTTTTTTTTTACTCCCTTTGGTCTTTTCCATTTCACCCAACTTATCTTAAATCCGCTCAACTAGTCCAAAGGAAAGATGTCAAATCTGTTGATCTTAGGATCAAATCCCGACAACGACAGTGTGAAAATTCTATTCTTTGTAATAACTTTTTATGCGCATTGTGCACGGAACGATCTCTCTAAGAACCAAATTGAGATTATATCATTCTTTACATTGGAGAGAAGCTTGTAGAATTTAGAAAAAACACAGTTTTAGAATTTGCCATTGTTATGGGGTGCCATAGAATTTGTCATTGTTATATTACCAGGCTCATCATTTAGTCAAAATTGCCATCCACATTTTTTATTTTACTCTGTAATTATCAAACTTGCTCTAAACGTCAATTGAAATGAAAAAACACACATATAATATTTGATAAGAATGCGACATAAGTGAAAACAAAGTAGATTGAATCATCAATCATTATGACTAGTAATCTTCAAATCAAAGTAATACAAGGCGCTTTGGGCCGGGGTTAAAAGTAATTATTCTTAAGAGTCACATATACCCTTCAGTCCTTCACAATGTATCCCACAATCCACATTCATCCCCTTTTTTTCTCCTTTCTTTCTTTTTAGGGTACCCTACAAGTCTACAACTCTTCACTAGTACTGCCTTTCCTCGACCGGGACTCTCTTTTCTTTTTTTTCTTTTTCTTTTTTTTTTTTTTTTTTGAAATAAGAAGAAAACCTACAAAATCCAATAAAGTTAAAATTCCAGCCTGTGTGGGCATGGGGGGTATTAATTTAATTTAATTTAATTTCTATAGCAATGAAAAAAACAAACGAAAGCTATAAAAAAAAAGGATGATATTTTTTTCTTTTTCAAAAAAGAGTTTGATTGCTCGAGCCCTCACGGGAGCTCCCCTACGCCTGCACTCACTAGATCAGCTGCCGGTAGTGGGACCCAAAGTGGTGGTGAATCAAGAAATCCTCGCCGTTGGACGACACGTCGAACATCATCTTGTGGTGAAACAACTGCTGCTGCTGCTGGGCCCGCACCAGCTCCTCCTTCTGCCTCCGGATTTCCAGGACCTTCCGGTGCGAGTTCGAGTGCTTGGTCAGCGTGAAAGTCGGGCTGGCCGCGGGCCGGTACTCCGGCACCAGCCGGCCCGACTTGTACCTCACCCCGCACGCGTTGCACAGCGTCTTCGGGCCCATGGGCCCCGTCCTCCACTGCGGCGTCTTGTCCGTCGCGCAGTGGAGACACCTCCGTCCTTCGTTCGCCGGGCCCTCCTTCTTCATCGGGCCCGCCTTGGCCGTCTTTTTCCCGCCAGATTCCGCGGGAGGAGAGACGACCAGGAGGCGGGAGGCCCAGTTGCCCGGGGCGGCCCGCGAGCGCTTGCTGCGGGCCTTGGCGGGCACGGACACGTCGGGCCGGAAGGTGGGAGCGGCGGCGGGCGAGTGAGGGTCGGCGGGTTCGGGCTTGAAACGGGTTTGTTCGGACGAGGATTCCGCGGTCCGGGCCTTGATGCCTGAAATGAACTGCAGCTTGTGCAAGTCCTCTTCGCTTGAGAATGAGTCCTCCACAAAATTGGATAACCATTCGAGCTCAGCCAGGTCGTCATACTGTAAATTGCAACACCAAATAATAATACGTGTTAGTCATACTCCATAATTATGCATTATTTTGTAGTTATTTACGTGACAAATTATTTAATTGTTGATAGTGAATTGAGCACATCTTTAAAATATTTTTGTGGCAGTGGGCGTTGCGCAGTTGTCAAGGCAATGAGTGCCAAGGAGATAAGACCCGGGTTCGATTCATGGCAACTGCTCTGGGAAGCAACTATGTTAAGCATTGGGTCTCCGCAAGTACCAGATGCAAGCTCCGCTCGGGAAAAAGAAATTGTAATTTTATTACGGAGTTTGAAACAAGAAACTGTGGTGTTTATTTTGGAATTTCTGAATGTCTAGATAAATTGTCAACATCTCCGGTGTTTGATAAATGTGTTAGGATGCAGTTATGCTAAACATAAAGCTTCTGCAAGTATTAGGTATCTACCCATTTCTTGACAACAATTTGCGGTCAAAGTTTGATTTATCTTTTCTTTGAGGGGTCCCTCAAAAATATGACTCATTCTATTTTATAAAAGAAACTACATTAATGCTAAAATCTAGGCTGTCTTGGTGGCTACTTAAGTTGGACAAACCAAGGAGCGTAGGGGTAGGCACTGATTTTTGAGAAGATAGATTTACAAAAAAGGACTGGTTACTAATTATTGGCGCCCGTACCAACTTGTCTCCAATTAGTTTTTTTTGGGTGTTTTTAAAACCGGACCGAACTGGCGGACAAATCGCTAGAATCGGGAATTGGATGCCAAATTGGTCCGGTTCAACACTTCAAAAACTCACTACTTGAGCTTGGAAAACTTAGGAACTGGTAGCCATGCCGGTTGCCCAAGTTTCAAATCATTAGTTTTTTGGCATTTGGTTCGTGAACTTATTGAGCTAGACTGTTTTAAAATTACACCCAAACACCACCTAAAGCATATCAGATTTTTTTTTCAACTTTTGTTTTTCTGTAATAGTTGACAATTAAACATTTTCAAACATTTCAAACTATTCCTGTCCAAAATAAAGGTTGAAAATTATTTCTAAAAACAACCTCAAACACCCTTTAAATTGCCTATAAACATGGATTTTTGAAGTCTAAAATGTGAAAATAATTTAACTTAAAACTAGCTTATCTTTTCCTTTTTCCTAGAGATATAAATCAACATTACCCACAATGTCCTAATATGTAATGAATGAACCATTTCCCTATCTTTATACCTCAAAATTCAAAACAACGAAAAGTCACCCCTTTCTCTTTATACAAGGAAAAATTGCGCCCATTAAAAACAAAATCTCACTTATATAGAGGAAAAGCCCATTAGAAATAAAGTACCGCGCTTCCCAATTCAAACCCATTTTACCTACAAATTCCACCAAAAGGTAATTAAGGAGCATTCTTAATTAAGGAGCATTCTTTACCCAAAATTATTTACCCACATATCTCATATTTCACTTTTTAGTCAAAGATGTTGAGTTTTGACCAGTTAGTACATACTAAATAATTTATAATATGAAATTAACATTAAATATTTTTTATTTAAGGAAAATTTATAAACAATTAACATTACAACTTTTACTCATATTACGAACAAAAAACTAAACAAAATTGAATGTTTCTCTACCATATTAGATTGTTGTTGTTGAAAACTATCATGACAACAATATAATAGTGTGTGTATCAAATATTTGACTAATTATATATAAAAATATACAATGAATTATGAGTAAATTCCATGATTAGTTTTTTATAACGGGTGGGTTTCCCTATTTAGTCCTCTGTTATTAAATATTACCCCAGTGGTCCTTCTTTTATGGGTATCTTTCCACAAATAGTCTTTTTTTTGATCTTTTATCATGTTGGTTTTAATTTGAAGGCTAAAAGTGTAATTTAACAATGATAATATATCTTTTTTGTCATACACAGTTCCAAAGGCTGTTCCGTTTGCGTCGTTTGTGAATTACAGTCGCTTTTACTACAAACATAGTCTACAAATGTGGTCTTTCGTTGGAATCCTAGCTCACAATCATAGTCATTATTTTTGTGTTATCCGCTTAACCAATATCAGAACACGTCACTAGACATAATGTTGATGTCAAATTATACTTTTAACCTTTAAATTAACACCAACATGGCAGAAGATCAAAAAAGGACCATTTGTGAAAAGGCACCCTTAAAAAAAGGACTACGGGGGTAATATTTGATAATAGAGGACTAAATATGGAAATCCCCCTGTTATAAAGGACCAATTATAGAATTTACTCATGAATTATAGAGTAAAATATAAAAATTATTAGTTTACGAAATAGTTTGAACGTATAAAATGTACTCCCTCCGTTTGGAAAAACACTTCCCATTTGGATTTGGGGCAAAAATAAGGATGTGTTAAATTATAGTTGATTTCCAATTTTGTCCCTGATGTGATGGGTAAAAGTAAGATGTGATGGATAAATTATTAGAGAAAAAGTATGATGTGATAGGTAGGGTATGAAAAAGTAAGGGTAAAAGTGGTTTTTTAATAGAAAAGGGAATTGTTTTGTTGGAAGTAGAAAAAATGAAAGAAGAAGTGTTTTTGAGAACGGAGGGAGTATCATTTAAATATTTTTTTACTAATATATTTTAAGAAATATTATTAATCAGATTTTAAGTTTAAAAAATCACGCATTTAGATAGGAAAGGCGAGAGTTTATATATGCCGCCCTCGAGTGTTGGGCAGGATACCACTAACGAGTGGTTGGACCAAAATTATTGCTTCTATAAATTTGGTTGTGAGAGCCGGAATTAATTAAACTTCGTCTCTCCCTAATTTGATTATAATTTGACAGTTATTAGGTAAAATCTTTTGTTTTTTGAAATTATTTTATTTAAATATTTGTATGTTAATAAGAAGTAAAAATTACATATCAAAAATTACGTCAAAAGTTCTATAAAACGAGAGGTGACAACAATATTGTATTTTATCAAATATTCAATGAAATACAAAAATAAACAAAAAATTATTGAGAAATTTTTTTTTAATTTATTTCAGTTCGGGGGACTACTATTTTTAAAGGAATTATAAAAACATTTTTGAAACAATAAAAAAAGTGTAAATAATTTAATACTCGTAAATATGAAGTCATGTGGACGGTGAATAATAATCCTAGTTACTGTACTTTTTTTCGAAAAAAAAGTACGCAGCATTAACGGAGTACTCCGTATTTCTAAATTTGATATTCCAAAAGAAGTAAATTCCACCTTTGATTCTTGACTGCACGTGACATTGTCATATTTTAGTTATCCACTAAAGAGTGGAATTTAATTCAACCCCAAAAACACTGGAACTAATTAATTACTCCCTAAGTACTACTCTCTACTTATTTACTCCATCTGTCCTCAATTTGATTACAAATTGCGGGTTACGGAATAAAATTTCTTATTTTTTGAAATCATTTTGTTTTGGTATATCAATAAGATATGAAAATTACATATTAAAAAATTATATCAAAAATTTTACAAAACAAGAGTTGACTAGAATATTTTATTTTATCAAATACTTAATGAAATTGCGTAAACAAACAAAAGTTATCGAAAGGAGAGAAAAAAAATTGTAATCTATTTAGGGAGTATTTTATTTGTAAGGCTAAAAATTTTATAAAATAAGAAATAATATACTATGTATTATCAATTATCATACTCTCTCCACCCAAAAACTATTTTTCATTCACCATTCACAGAATCAAACTTTATTCATTTTAATGGTCTATTCACGTTACTCATTTGATAAAATAATATAGTCATGTCACTTCTAATTTTATAAATCTTTTATGTTGTTTTTTAACATATAATTTTTATTTCTTAATTTCATACCATTTTTCATATAAAATGATTTGAAGATAACTTCACTCAAATATCGTAAGACATAAACGTAACCCAAAGGTAATTTTTCAAACGGAAGGAATAACAAACAAAGTGACAAAGACTTTTATTTGTTTTAAACAAATTTTAAGTATATACTTTTTTGGTTATTACGATATATTTTTCACTCCATGCATTAATCAATACACCACTCTAATGTCACTTTAATTTACTCACTGATGGAAGATAGTTAGGCCTGACTTTAACGGACCATTTTTATTTGTAAAAGAATCTTATCTACATCGCCAACTAAAGATATAAAATTATGAAATTAAAATTTTATTTAAAAAAAAGATGTTACCCGCACAATTATTTAAAAAATTATAATAAAACTTAAATAAAGTACATCAGAATTAAACCTTAAGTAATCGTAAGAGAGGGAGTACATGCATATACCAAAATAATTTAATTGATAGTTAAGAATTAAAAAAACCATTTTATTAAGGAAATTAAAAATATTATAAATCAATTGTCCGTATGATTTAAAAATTAAAAGTGACTTTGAAATACGGCCTTTCGAGTGCTAAAGGCATGCAGTCCAATTCAAGTTTAAATAATTAAAAAAATCATTAGTTGAATTTGTAAATTTGGTTCAAATTAAAAAATTTGGTCCCTTTTCTCCATAATTGGAACCAATGAAATTTTAGAGTATAAAATTTTTCATAAACCAACAATTACAAGTTGTGTTGTATTAATTCTTTTATCGTCCCTTTCGCCCTTATTTGGGCACTTGAGAGCGTTCTGACACTCAAATTCTTTATAAAATTTGAAAAGGTTAGTGGCTCCACACTTCTAACCCGTCCCGGGATAAATATTCGCCCTGTCTCGGCACAATACAATTTAAACTACAAGTTTGAGATGTGAACTCAATGGTTCTTTGGCGTAACAAATAACTCTATATATATTCATATATACTCTATAAATTTTAACGATCATACTACGAATCATCCACGAGTGTCGATGAATAACAATCACAGATGATTTATACATACAAAGAGGATAATCATCTACATACAAATTTTTATTTCTGTTTATGTATAAATCATTTGTAGTTGTGATTGGTAGAAGTATCCGTAGTGAGTTTTTATCATTTTTGAAATTTTAAGAACACTCTAAGAGCTATCCTTAGCCATCCATCTTAGCCACAAGCGCCGACAACATGTAAAGGTCTCAACTTTGAAGGCTTTATGTAGGCAAATTATTAACTCCTTTGGTAAAAAAGAATCAAGGTGAAAATAATTATTACAAGGTATTGCAATTTTTAAGTACTCCCAATTGTGACATGAATATCCTATGTTAATAAATGATCAATAAACATTTGTACCAGTACATAAAAACAAAAACAGAGTATATATATATTTTGTTCGTGTGAGTAGTAAAATTTAAATTAATTCAAAGTAGGTTATTATTTTTGTTTCACAGTATTCGTCGTGTTTGAATTTTCAGACTCACACCAAATCAAATTTAGTTATCAATTAAATAAAAATTATATTAAATATTAAAACAATATAGTTACAATATAATTGAAATTTGAAATTCGTCCAAAGTTTTAATCAAAAAATTCAAATTAAACGAATATGATGGAGGAAATATTATTATGGAGTATTATTATTAAATTATTATTTCACGAAACTTCTGGAAAAAATACTGGCTTAAAAGTATCTAAAATTAGTATTGGAGCTTCGAAATTGGCATTGCGGGAAATTAAACAGGGAACAAGTAATAATTACCGGAACGCAAAATTCATCGGAGAAGGGGCCGTCGGAGACATTCCGGCAGTTAAAATCAGCGGCGAATTGGAGGTCGTGAGGACCGGCGCCAGAGAAGGAGGAGTTGCAGGAGGCGTCGAATGCGGTGGCGGAGGAGGAATCGGTGGAGGTTCCGCCGGCGGAGGCAACCGCGGCGGCGTCAATCGCTCCTCCGTCAGACAGCATGCCGTCGTCGTTCGGGAAGTCGAGGAGGTCCTCGACGAGGAATTGGTCTCCGCCGCCGCCGACACTCTTGACGTCGGACGGCGGCGGATGGCGGTGCTTCTCGGCGGAGAATTGGGCGGAGGAGGCGTAGTAACTCGCTTGGAAGAATTCCGGCGTTTCCATGGAATTGGAGTTTCAGTTTGGGGGAAAAACTGAAAAATTGAAAAAAAACAGAGAAGAGAGAGAGAGAGAAATGAGGAGAGAGAGAGTGGTTAGTTAGTTGAGTGTAGAGAGAGAAAGGTAGAGAGAGAGAGAGAGATGGGGGAGTGAAGAAAGTTTAGGGGATGAGAGAGAGTGGTGGGAAAGGGTGAGAATGGGAGGGTTTATTTGCGTTTGAAGGGGGACAAGCAGACCGGCTAAATTTTTGGATTTTGACGGAGAAATTTTTATACTCATATTATTATGCCTTTGATTTTAAAAAAAAAAATACTAAAAAAATCTAATCTAGATTTTCATTACTTCCCTTCCCACAATAAAGTGAAAATTGAAGCATTTTATGTTCAAGGGTGAATACCAATCCAAAACCTGAACGGACCAGATTGGGAAGACCAAAAACTAGAATCTGGTAAAGGGTAGGATCCGAACTCGAACTTGAAAAATTCTGATCCAATTTTAGACTAGAAAAAATATTTTTTAATTTATTCTTAGATTATTTTAACTCGTTTTTTTGACGGCCTAACATGATTCAACCTTGTTTTATTTTTTATATTCATTGATTGTGTTTCAGAAAATAATATCAACATACAATTATTTCACCAATGATTCTCCGCAATATGATACATTTAAAATCAAATTTATACTTTTGTTCCTTGTCATGTATAAAGTTTTATTTTAATACATTTCAATCTTTTCAAAAATAAGTTTGCATATAGAAATATTTGAGGGCCATTTGATGAATACACGAGATATGAGTTTTTATGTCTCTAATATAAGTTTTCTTTTCTTTTGGTGTGTTAGGTGAGACAAAAAAAAAATCAAATTCGATATCTCCAGATATTATAAATCTTTCAAATAGAAAGTTTCGATATCTCCTGAATTTGGAAGATTTCAATGTGGAGATATAACATCTACCTTAATCGTCTACCATCCCTCGCCATTGGATAGCTACCATTGCCACCGCCAATCAACCAGAGGCGGATCCAGGATTTTAAGGCCATGGGATCCCCTACACTCGCTACCTCACATTCTCATATCAAACTACTTCATAAGTCTTAATATTTAACAATAAATTAAAACTAATATTTGAAGAGTACCATAATTGATATATATAAACAAAGTCATACGAAAACAATATCGTAATTTGAATTTGAATTTGGCTAGCTTTTTTAATACATATAAATAAAGTCATACCAATTCCACTCGACTCCCAATCTTTGAATTTGGCTAGCTTTTTGAAATACCTTTGAATTTTAAATTCTGTAAATTAGACATAAAATGAACATTAATACAATAATACTTATCACTAGCCATCCTAAATCAATTTTTTATTGAAGAAAAATCTTTGATTCTTTAATGTGTAAATTATTATATATTACTAAATACTAATCATATATTCATATATTAAAAGTGTAAAATAAAGAATTGGTGAACTAGGGAAGAGAGGAGAAATTTACATAGAAAAGGGGAGGGAAAATGATGTCGTTTTGATGCTAATTACGAAAAAAATTGCCTCCAAAATCGAAATTAAAAGTGTAAAATAAAGAATCTGGGAACTGGGGAAGAGAGGAGAAATTTACAGAGAAAAGGGGGAGGGAAAATGGCGTCGTTTTGATGCTAATTACGAAAAAATTTGACTCTAAAAAAGAAAAAAATTAACTCCAAAATCAAAATTAAAAGTGTAAAATAAAGAATTGGAGAACTAGAGAAGAGAGGAGAAATTTACAAAGAAAAGGGGAGGGAAAATGACATCATTTTGATGCTAATTACAAAAAAAATTGACTCCAAAGAAGAAAAAAATTTACTCTAAAAAGTTACAAAAAAATTGACTCCAAAGAAGAAAAAAATTTACTCTAAAAAGTCACTAGACTGGGAGTCGAACCTCCGTCCAGTGGAGAAGGGGATAGGCGTGCCAGTGAACTCTCTGCTGAACCAAACGCACCTTTATTGTGTATTTGACAAGCGTTTTTTATATATTAATATCTATACATACCTAATACCTATATGGACCTACCCCGGAGTCCGTGGGGTCCCGGGACCCCATAGGACTCAAGGTGGGATCGCCTCTGCAATCAACCCCCGTTGCCGGCGATCCAACCAATCTTTAATTAAATCATGATAATAAATTTCTCTAAACAGCTTGATTTTAGCTTTTGAAACTCATTTCATTTCTCCAAAATTTCAAAATTCATATCATATCATTTCTCCAAACTCACCAAACATGCCCTAAAAATCTAAGCTCAAGATATGGGGTTTTGATAGAAATGTATTGAAGTATAATGTTTAGACACTTTTATCTGTAACTTATTCTATCAATATTTTAGAAATGTGACAAACTAATGAAAGTATAAATTTTATTCTAAATGTATTATATACTTGTTGAAATATTTGTATGTTGATGTTATTTCTTGAAACGCAATCAACAAATAGAAAAAATTTAAAATAAAGTTAAATCAAACTAATTCATCAAAAAACGAGTTGAAATAATTCGGAAAAAGTATAAATTACCGATTTTTCAGGTCTAAACCCGGACCGGGCAAAAAAAACCCTTCTGAATTAGAATTTTTCAGGTCTGACTTTCGATCCTAACCTTAACCCGATTTATTTCATTTTTTTTTAATTTCGGTCCGAAATGATTTTGAATCGGTGTTCACCCATAAGTGCACATCTATTAAGGGGCGTATGTTGATGGGGGCCTTGGCTTGGGGGTGTTGTAATCAAGAGGGGTGGTGCATAATTTGGTGGACCACACGTGAGGTGTAGTGTGACAATGAATTATCCTTGGTCACATTTGTTTTTTCAACGGTTAAGGGAACTTTTTTTTATTTATACATTTTCATTGATTATCTAATAAAATAAAATATTCTTGACATCTCTTATTTTGAAAAAATTTTCATTTGTTTTTTTAAATATGTAAATTTTATTTTTTATTTCTATATCAATATCAAAATAAAATAAATTGAAAAAACTTGATATTTTATCTCATTTTTTGAAATGTGATAAACATTTAGAGACGAGAGAGCATGGAAAGGAATGGGCAGCAGTTCTTTACTCTTTACTTAAGAATTAGGTCACCTCTCCTTCAACTTACAGAGTATAGGACCCCTCTTTGTAATGAGAGTGAACTTCTTGTCCTAAAAAGTGTTGGACTGGGAACATGGAGTGTGCACCCACTTTGTGATGCTTCATCCACAATTATGGGCTTTTTAGTTTTAGTACTATTATTTTAGACCATATTCTCTCCAATTTTATTTTACCAACACTTCATTTTTTATTCATGAAATAGGAGTTAAAATAAATTTTCAGTATCAATTATGATCATATACATTATCAAAAAGTATCATGCAATGTTCATGTAAATTCTCCCATTTAGGCAATGAAAATATGAAGCTCCCAGTTTGATACTTTCTCTATGACTTACTCTTATTTAGAGTGATTTATTTTTGTGTAAATTTTTTCCGTGATTTGCAATGTTGTTAATTGAGTTAGTTTTGTGATGCACGAGTATGGTAGTACGCTATCAAAGATTTATTGATCAAAAAGTCACGAGTTTAAAATTAATACCACCCAATTATAAAAATTGTAGTTTAATGTGCAAGGCTCGAAACATGATTAACTGCACTTCCGGGATCGAAACTTGTTAGAGTAAAAAAATCTTAGACCTATTATTGCAAATTTAAATTTTTGATTGAGTTGATATTCTGATGTAATGGTGTTTAATGAAAATAGGGAGTATACTTTATTTATTTATTTCAAATATGGAGTACTCTACAGTTTTTAGGAAAAATTAACTGTATTTTGTTCCAAATTGTAAACGATAGTATTGAACTAAGAACACTTGCCGAAGTTGTTAAACTTTTAATTGATGTGACTGCAATGATTGAAGCTGTTGATAAATCACACTAAACTAATCCGTAGTACTCTAGCCATTATTTATACGGAATAAATTTTACTCCCTCGTTCCAATTTGATTATAAATTGAGGTTTATGAAAAGAAATATCTCATTTTTGAAATTATTTTATTTACAAATCAGTAAATCGATAAGAAATACTATCCCCGTTACAGAGTATTTGTCCACTTTCATTTTTGCACATCATCCAATATACTTCTTTAATCCATTTTATCTTGTAATTTGTATATTTAAAAATTATAGAAATTATATATTAATAATCTATTTGTTAAGACAAATCAAAGAAGATCACACATGACTATATTTAGACTTACACATTGAGAGAATTTGATGAGTCAAAGTGCTTAGATGAACAGTTTCAAAAGTCAAATGTGGACAAAAACTCCGGGACGGAGGGAGTAAAAATTACATATAAAAAACCATGTCAAAACTTCTTCAAAACAAGATGTGACAAGAATATTTTATTTTATCAAATACTCCCTCCGTCCCGGAGTATTCGTCCAGTTTTGACTTTTGGAACTGTTCATCTAAGCACTTTGAGTCATCAAATTCTCTCAATGTGTAAGCCTAAATATAGTCATGTGTGATCTTGTTTGATTTGTCTTAACATATGGATTATTAATATATAATTTCTATAATTTTTAATATACAAATTACAAGATAAAATGGATTAAAGAAGTGTATTGGATGATGTGTAAAAATGAAAGTGGACAAATACTCTGGGACGGATTATTTAGATCAATCTCTTATAAAATAGTCTATTGAATTAAGTAACTTTTGAATTTCAATCAAACACAAATTATTTAGATCTTCTCGAAAAATAACCAGTTCCGCAAAATTAAAAATGGCTAAAATGCGACTAAATTATTGTAACACATATCTCAAATCTAGAGTTTTTTAAACGTACTATGCATTTCATATTGATCTTTATATAAAGGAAAAATTAGCCAAAATAATTTCAACTTTATTCAGTCTTTCAAAAATTATCTTACATTTCACTGTGATGCATAATAATTTCAAATTTACTGAAATATGCAAATTTTGGGTCGTAATCAAGTTACTAACGGTGAGTTAACAGAAACGGCATGTTTTGCGCAACAAAATGAAAGTTAGAATTATTTTTGATGAATTTTCGTTTTTTAAATTTTTTGAAATTTTAATTTAAAATTTTAAAATGACCTTCTACCTCCATAATTTCTATTTTTTTAAATATTAGCCTAACTTTGGAAAAAAATAGATACAAAGAATAATGAAAATAAGAAAATTGACTAAAATCATTCAAAATTAATGAAAAAATAAAGTAATCAATAGAAATGATCTTGAACCCTTAAGAAATAAAGTAAAAATATATGGAGTGGCGAGTTTTAACATTTCATACTATACAGAGCATTAATGTATCTCTTTTCCTTGGTTTTAGGAAAAATATCTAGAACAAGTAGTACATTAATACTCGTTTTGTATAGTGTGTAAAATGTTAGAGTACTTAACTCGTTATATTTTTATTTTATTTTTTTTCTTTTCAGTTTTAGTTTAATTTTTATTGATTACCTTATTTATTTCATTATTTGTTGTATGATTTTAGTTATTTTTCTCATTTTTGAGTTTTTTATATCAATATTTATTTTTTATAAGATAAGACTAATCTTTAAAAAAGAAAAAAGAAATTGAAGTAGAAAGTCATTTTAAAAATCCTTTATCGTTTATCATTGTTGACATTTATAAAATTTTAAATGAACATCCTTTATCCTTTATCGTTGTTGCTTAGAGTAGAACTTGAGTTTATTCCTTTCGATCGTTTTAGCTCTTTTGAAAATTGGACGCATTTAATGTACACTTTACTTCTACTCCCTCCGTTCTATTAAACTCGTCCTCTTTCATTTTTTTTCAATTTCTAAAACACTTCCTCTTTCTATTAAAATAACACTTTTGCCCCTACTTTTTCATATCGTACTTATCACATTATAATTTTTCATTAATGTCCAAAATATCAGATCTTACTTTTACCCATCACATCTGGGGCAAAATTAGAAAGTCAACAAAAATTTATACTTTCCTTATTTTGGCCCAAAGTCAAAATCGAAACTGTCTAAAGGAACGAAGGGGTGTATTTTAGCTCTTTCAAAAGTCAATCGTCTGTCTGATTTTTTCATCGCATTTCATTAATAATAATAATTTATGGTTCTTTAAGCACGCACAAAAAAAAAATTGTAAGGTTAACTAAGAAAAAGTTTTAATTTATATACTCCGTAAAAATTACGCTATATATAAGCATAAGCAGTAAAATATTGCCAAAAAAGAAAAAAATAAATTAAATTTTACAATACATTACGAAAATACTCCGTAAAAGAGATGATGATGATATGGTGTTCTCTACGTACTCCATGGTCCATGCGATCACGTGATAATGTGATTTTACAATGTATTAATCAATTTAAATATGCTACAACTTGTTGAATGTTTTGAACAATTAAATATGAAAAAATGCTAGGGGTACACCAAAGGTGTACCTCATTTGTCCCCCACCCCCTCCATTACCACAAAAAAAAGGTAAGAAATTAAAAAAATTAAATAAATAAAAATAAAATAAAATTGAGTGGTGGAGAGAAGGGTGGGGGACAAATGGGGTACACCTTTGGTGTACCCCTAGCATTGCTCATTAAATATTATTGAATGAAGCAACAATAACTCTAGAGGGTGTTGGACAATGTGCTGCTTTTAAAAATTTAGCTTCTGCTTTGAGTAGAAGTGATTTTACTCTGTTTGGCATGCCAGATTCTGTTTTTCACCACCACTATTTTGTACATAGAACACCGTTTTGGAGAAGCAGGTATGAGGTGTGTTTGCTTTTAGCTTTTGTGGGAATCACTTTATCCATAAGTTAATCGCTCTCAAACACCCTCTTAAGAGTTAAATTTAAACTCAAGGTCTTTAAATCAGTAAAACTTTTAATATTATGTCAAAAAACTAACTTAATCACAAACTCAAACTTGTGGATTAAGTCAATGTTAGAATGTCATCCCACATCAGAAGTTCAAGAGCAAAATAATTGGTATATATGCTCTTGAGTTTAACTAACTAATTGATTGGATTCAATTTTTTAATGTGGTTCAGCCCAAGTGTCTTATAGCCCAATCCAGTTATCAACACCCAATCCTAAATTTATCATGGTATCGGAGCATGTTTTGGCCCATTCATTTGTCAAGGTGTCCGTCTAGACGTTCATTCCTAACGGCCCGTTAGTATTTAGCCCAGTTGTTCGTATGGAGTATGTACCCAACGGCCAGTGGTCCGTCTAACACGATTGCTCATTTGGAAGTCCATACCAATGACTCGTGGTCTTTTAGGTGTTGGCGCTCAAAAAAAGTCAAGGAAATGTGAGTTCATTTGCAAGTGGTCAACCGGTTAAATTCAAAATGATCCGGTTGTCCACTACAAAACATTTTATATAGTATGATCACTTCATTACTGACTACTTGAGCGGGTGATATGATCTTATAAGTTGGAAACTAAGATTATTAATGCAAAAAGTTCAAGTACTTAAGTGACATGATATGTTTTTTAAATTTAATCTCAAAATAATCATTTTCAGAAAAGCCACCCATTTAAACACCCTCAACCAGTCTTTTTTTGTGATCAATTATTCAAGTACTTAAGTGAAAATACGGAGTATTTATTATACTCCATCCGTCCCAAAAAACACGGAAGTTTTGATTTTGAAGAGGGATTTTAGAGGAGTATATTTTGGTATTGAATTTCTAAAAATGTCCTTTGATGTGATAGGTAAAAGTGTGATTTGATAGATAGATTATTAGTAAAAAGGTACTCCCTCCGTCCCCAATTTGATTACAAATTGCGGGTTACGGAGTTAAATTTCCTACTTTTTGAAATCATTT